GTATACGAGCAAAGCTACAAGGTTTGCTTCCTCTACAAACCTTTCATGTTCTTCACAAGGATTCACCTTGCAAGCTTTGTTCTAGGATTATAAACGACTTGCAATCAACTGGAAACTGGAGGAGCTCGTGCTCCTTCTCAAGGAGTTGCGTGTTTCTCATACAAAGGCAAGTTTCCAAACCTTCACTCCTCGATCTAACGCATGCAAAGTGGATGAACTACTAGGAAGAACTTTGATGTGTTTGCCGGGGAGGTCGGGGAACTTGCAAAAGCTGGTCTGGCAACTCAACACCACGCACAACCCCAAGAACAAGCTTGGGGCGTCAACTCCCAAGAAGGTGACGGGTCAATAGTGAATATTCAATAAACAATTAGATTATTCTCGGCTAGATCGCAGTCACATCTCATCCGACGGCAGAACGCCATCCCAACCGTCGACAAATAGTCGTTATGAGAAGCTAGGGTTTCTACCCTTTTTATTTCTCATCTCAAGGAAGCTTGCGCGAGAGGAGAAGCTCTGCGATGGTCCGCCAAGACGTTGAGTTTGAGGACGATGATTGTGCCGAGCTCCTCAAGATCTACACGAGGGGCCAGAGGCTGGGTTGCGGGAGCCAGGGCCAGGTTTTCGTGCTCAAGGGGGCCACGAGCTACGCCGGAAAGATGTTTCGAGCGGGGAGGGACGCCGGGAGAGAGCTCCGGCTCATGTCCAAGCTCCGCGGCTGCGCTGGAGTGGTCTCCTTGGCGGGCTTCGTGAAGGAGAGGAGCGGCGGGGCTTGCTACGGGACCATGGTGATGGAGCTGTGCGGTCCTAGCCTGTTCCATCGATTGATCAAGGGAGGGCCGCTGGGCGAGGAGGAGGCCGCCAAGACCATCCAGAGGCTGGCGGAGGCGCTCAAGGGGATACATAGCAGCGGCATCGTCCACCGGGATCTCAAGCCGGAGAACGTCTTCGTCAAGCTGGGCGCTGCTGCCGTGCACGAGGTGGTGATTGGAGACTTCGGCGTGGCCACGGACGACCCCAAGGAGATGTCGCAGTGCTGTGGAACCGGGAAGTATATGGCCCCGGAGGTGACGAGCTGCAAGGGTGACGCAAGGTCGCAGAGCTTTTACACTGCGGCCATCGACGTGTGGGCGCTGGGAGTGATCGCATATGAGCTGCTGAGAGGCTACAAGCAATCCAGGGAAATCGAGTTGTTGCGAGCCGGGGAATTCCCGGATGGTTGTCCTCTCTCAGACGAGGCGGAGGATCTCATCTGCGGGATGCTGGCTGTGGAGCCGAGCGAGAGGTTGACGCTGGATGGTGTGCTGGAGCATCCCTGGATCGTGGAGAATTGCAGCAGTAAGACGATTCAAAAGAGGAGGCGCTGTGGAGTGAAGAGGAGTGCTCCCGGTTTTAGTAGCGACTTGGTTGTCAAGAAAGTTCGAGCAGCGTGAGTGTGTTAAATACATGCCTCCATCAGCCAACTTGGTGAGCGCTTACTGTTAGTACATGAAGAGATAAATGTAAACCAGGGTGTAGTTTGATCATACAGATCATATTTTAAAATCAATGATATAACGTGAATTTGTGTACCACTTGGTATGGCTGTTTGCCCGCCCCATGCCCAGCTCGGAAACGCTCCTGGCTGCTCGTTGCGTGAAGCCTTGGCCACTTTGCATCTGATAGCCACCGAGTAGCGATCCCCAAGCCGGGAGAAATGGCATGGCTTGGACGATCTCGCGAGCAAGTTCCAGGTTCCCGGCCCGTCCCAGGATGTCTGTGACTTAATCGTAGTGTTCCCTCAAAGCTGTGATTCCAAAGTCGCCGCTCACGAGCTCCGAGCATTGAGTTCCAGGAGACAAAATTAAAATTCAAACAGTGCAAAGAGATATCATATCTTAGAACATAATTATAATAATTTATATGATATCGCTTTTAATTAAGATATTATGTATTTTTAATTTTTTTCTTTAGTTTAGTAATTATATTATTAATTATTCTGGGATTATATAAATTTTTAATGACAGAGCTAAGTTAAATCAATACTATCAGACCATAAAAGGCTCATAAAGGCTATAGCATTGAGTTATAATATTATTGAAGCATATAGTTAAAAAGTATTATTATTATAGTTTTGGAATATGTATTAGTAATTGAGACTAAATAATATTAAAATATTTTAATACATAATTTTAATAATGGGGATGTCGAGAGGTCGTCCAAGCCATGCCATTTCTCCCGGATCTTCTGGCTTGGAGATTGCTACGCGGTGGCTACCAGCCAAGGCTTCACGCAACGAGCAGCCAGGAGCGTTTTCGAGCTGGGCTTGGGGCGAGCAAACAACCATACCAAGTGGTACACAAATTCACGTTATATCATTGTTTTAAAAATATGATCTGTATGAAAAAACTACACCCTGGTTTACATTTATCTCTTCATGTACTAACAGTAGGTGCTCACCAAGTTGGCTGATGGTGGCATGTATTTAACACACTCACGCTGCTCGAACTTTCTTGACAACCAAGTCGCTACTAAAACCGGGAGCACTCCTCTTCACTCCACAGCGCCTCCTCTTTTGAATCGTCTTCTTCATCTTACTGCTGCAATTCTCAACGATCCACTCCAGCACACCATCCAGCGTCAACCTCTCGCTCGGCTCCACAGCCAGCATCCCGCAGATGAGATCCTCCGCCTCTGAGAGAGGACAACCATCCGGGAATTCCCCGGCTCGCAACAACTTGATCTCCCTGAACTGCTTGTAGTCTCTCAGCAGCTCATATGCGATCACTCCCAGCGCCCACACGTCCATGGCTGTAGTGTAAAAGCTCTGCAACCTAGCGTCGCCATGACCATCCTGCAGCTCGTCACCTCCAGGGCCATATGCGACATCTCCTTGGGGTCGTCCGTGGCCATACCGAGCGCAGCATTTGCTCGAAGAGATCCAACACGCTGCTCGTGTCTCCCGCGTGGCTGTGAGCTTCCAGCAGCGAGTTCCAAGTCCCCAGATCTTGCTGCCTCGATCCATGGAGCGGAAGACTTGGCGAGCTTCGTCCACACTCCCGCACTTGCCATAGAAGCTGACGAGCGAGCTCCCAACAACGGGATCGTCCCTGTGGAGTGATCCAATCTCCTCGGCGTGGATCTTCCTCCCAGTTTCCAGATCCCCCAGGCTTCCACAGGCTTTGAGTACCGCGGCAAAAGTTAGAGAGTCGAGCTCCACCGCCAGCCTCGCCACTCTCCACATAGCCGAAGATGAGAGTGTTTACGCAACAGGTCCTCGATTGTGATGGTAACAAATGAGCTCGTGGAAGTTCCAGAGGTGATCAGAGATGGATTGTTTGCGAGGCAGCACAAGGTTGTGGAGACAAGAAGCTACTGCATCACGCAGCTCGTCCTCTGCAATCTTCATGTCCTGGCCATGAATCACAAGCCCGGTCTACTTTGGGAGGATCACTGCCTGCCAGTTTCTGGTTTATTTTATCTTTTACTTAAAGGTCTAGAAATATATTTTTATTTTAAAATTATTTTTGAAATCTATGAGATTTTGCAAATTTCAGCATTTGCAAATCTATTTGCCTTTGTGCAATCTTTTTGCTAGGCCATATTGGTACAAGAGGATGGGAAGTAGGGATGATGAAGAGTGATATAAACAATTTTTACATTATTAAGGAGTGGTATGTACAAAATTAAGTGTAAAGTGGATGGTAAATTTTTTGCATGTGAGGAATTATCCAATTGAAGGCTTGATCATCAATAACACACTCCCAGATGGAGGCCTACAAGAGGAAGTTGAGGCAGAGATCGATAAACATATATGTACATTACCCCATGCCATGCTCCATGATTTACAAGACTTGTCATGGAGCACTCTACCACCAATATACTTCTAGTGCCAAAACAGTGTTTAATTGCAACAAAGTTCCAATTTGTAACTCTATGCGAGGTGTGAACATTTTCCAACTCAAGGCTAGAGTGTATTACCTTGCCTCTCACATGAAACAGTGCACTAACTTATCTTTAACAGAGTTCTAACCTTGTAATAGGGAATAAAAAAAAGGCATGAACCTCCTCCTAAGGGAGCAAACTCTAAAGCAAGCATTAGAGAAGGAATGTAGCTGAGGCAGAGATTGAGGCATTGGCCCATTTCTCAAAGATCATGGATCAAATAATCTTCAAAAGCACAAAACTAAAAAAAAGCAATGGAGCCATGGTACATAAAAGTGAAAGTGCAAAATTAAAAATAGCAATGGAGCTATAAAATGGAGGTTTTAAGGGATAAAGATTACTATCACCTCATTATGGAGCTATGTGCTGCTAAAACAAAAAAGCATAAGGCAGCAATCATGATTAAGCAAAGTAGTAAAGATAGTGCACAAGATGCACAAGAGGGGCATTACTTATAAGGATATCAAGTTTAAAAACATCCTTTTAGAGTTTTGGGAGAACTTGCTTGGGAACATAAAGTCAGTAGACTTTTGGAGCATTGTCAAAGTTTTCAAAGAAGAGGTCGCTACCAAGTATGATCAGAGATCTTATCTCCTGGCCATATTTATGACAAGAGAGGTTGACATGTGGAGCATGGGGATTGTTTTATACAAGATGTTGTCTGGGAAGTGTGCATTTCCAGAGTTGGTGTCATGAGAAATTGAGAAGAGATTGGGATGTTTGGAGGATTTGTAATGAACTCTCTTGACTCCAAAATCAAGCAAATGTAGGGAAAATGAGTTTGAAGCTGGTTTTCTAGCAAACAAAGCCTAGAAAATGGTGTGTGAAAATAAAGTGGGAAGAAAAACAATTGAAAACTATAATCATAAAGCCAAACAAAATTTAGTTACAATGCATGAATTGTTCACTAAAAAATCACTCATATGCAATTTTGTGACCAAACTATACAGTTATGCATGAAGAAGTAAAGCTTTTGTCAATGACAAAGTTTCTTTATGGATATGTTAAACTGTATAATCAGATAAAAAGCCAGAATACATTGATATATCACTAAACTCTTTCATGACTGCTACTAGGACGAGCAAAGTAATTTTATTATTTCATAAAATGAAATTAAAGTCAGTTTTAGAGCGTCGCCATTCTCATGCTACGGCTTTGAAACGGTTATTGTTCAGTGGCCAATCAACTGACATTTCAACTGAAGCTGCGGAAAGCTGGTTGCGCCAAATGCCAGGAGTCGGATGAAAGAAAAAATAAAATAAAATGTCAGAGCATCAGCAGCACCAAAATCTCTCCCCCCACCTCCAAAATCACCACCAAACTCAAAATCACCACCACCACCACCACCACGAGAAGTTGAGCACCACCTCTGCCTGAGCAGCTTGCCGAAACCGCTGGTGGCGCTGCACGCCCGCCGCAATACATACGTCGTATGAAAAGCTTCTCCACTTTTTCCATGAGATTAGCGGCCTACTCGGAAATATGCAAACAAAAAGTTGTAAAACAACAAAGATGGCTCACCTTGTCAGAGCTGCTAAAGTACGAGCCCGCAAATAAATCGGCATTGCTTTCCTGCCAGTCACCTAAAATAAAAAACTTCAGAGCTTTCCCTCGAGTCCTCACAGATTTTCAAGATCTTTGCGAATGCCACCACGTTCAAAGAGCTGTAATCTGATGGAATAAGCACGAAAGGATCTTACACAGACTAATTTGGAGTCCAAGGCCACGATAAAACTCGATGAATGCCAAGCGCAGCACCTTCTCTGCAGAGTGAACCTTTTTCTTGGTCGCGTGGATGTCCGTCTCTTGAGATATATTTTTCTTGGATTGGTGTATCAATGCTTGCGAGAGGGACGCTATCGTAGTAGTATGGTGCCGGAGATTTCACGTCTTGTGAACAGAATATAGGCTGCCGCTCAAGCGAATTTCCCATCTCAATGCTACTGTTTCCAGCAGGCATTCCTCGAGACGTATCAGCGCGAGATTTCTAAGAGAAAGCAAACTACCTGAGAATAACTCCAGCGTTTGGCATTTGCCTGCTCAAAGCCTCGGCTCTTTTGCAGTACTCCTCCTCCTTTGTCCTGTAAAACTTATTCACGTTGTTAAGATGGCCATCCAGGCGGGCGAATAACATCTTCTCCTCTTCGACCTGTGAAATCGGTCCGAAGTGTTCTGTCTCATAAAGCTCCTCTGGGGGCAATTGACGCACCTGGAGAACAAAAACTATCAAAGAAGCTTTCAAAGGAAGAACTTTGACAGTTACGAAGAACTTACTCGAAGGACTTCACTCTGGCTCCATGTCAAGATCTTCCGCCTGGTGAGACCGCTGAAAGTCCTGAGGGGCGAAGAATCGGCGGGCGAGGGAGAAGAGCCAGCAGCATCAGCAGTAGCAGCACCAGCACCCCCACCTGGAGAAAAAATTTGCTTCTTGCGGAAGCACCAGCTTGATCTGCTTGAGATCCTTCTTGAGCTGCCACTAATCGCGGTAGGCCGATCGCCACTCGGGAACAAGATGGCCATCGAGCTGCTTGGAGAACTTGACCATGCTGGATGAAAAAGATGATGCATCCCTTTTCTTCTCGTTCTACTTCTAAATGAAAGACCAACTCTCACCAAGTAAAGCGGTGCCACTGCCAGTCCACACCCCATTTCCCGTGAATCGATCGAGCGAGCAAAGCTTGCCTGGGGTTTTCTGCCTGTCATGGCGGGGATTGGGATCTGCCGCTGGAAATGCGAGGCCTGGCCGTGGATTCAAGGCGCTCGCGAAGTCCAGGCTCCAGCATTGCCTCCACAGAAGCGGCAATGCAGGCGCGGTTCTCAAGCACCCATTTTGTTTTCCTTTTCGTTTCTCTCGCATCGCAGCGCTCTGATATGGATGGATCGAGCGCAGCAACAGGTGCGCGGCGTGTATATCGACTGCAAGGGGCTGAATTTCGAGCAAGCCATGGCGCGCTATGGCCGGAAGATGCGACAGGACAAGACGCTCACTGATCTGCTCAAGAAGGAGTACTACGTGAAGCCGTCGGAGCAGCGGCGCCAGGCGGAGAAGGAGCGTGTCAAGCGAACCAAGAAGAGGCTCTTCCTGGAGAAGCTCAAGTTCGTCTTGATGCTGCGAGCAAGGTTTGCATTCCTCCTTTTGTTCTTCATCCACCATAGCTGGTTTTCATTTCTTCTTCCTTTCTCTTTCTCCTCGGAGAAATCCATTCTTTTCCTTTTTGCGAGATGTTGAATCGCTTAGTGATGATCTTCTTCTCGTTTATCCAGAGGGCTGTGATCGAACTTTGGTGATCTTCTTTTAATTTGTTTTCCTCTCTACTTCTGTTTTTATGAACTAACAAGAGCCCTAAGTTTCTTTTCTATCATGGCCTCGGGAGGGCCTCTTCTCGCTCTCGACGATCTCATCCATGATCTTAGCAAAGATCCAGCATCACCGAATTTCCCCTGGTTGGATCGCCCATCAGCAACGCAACAAGATGATCATCTCCCTCAGGATCTCGATCTCGTAGAGGTGCTTTCTCTTTCTTTCAATCCCTCGATCAGTGCTCAGGAATACCACCGTTGCAGGAAATCCAGGAGACCTGCCGCGATCTCAATGCCGCATTGGAGCGCCCCGGCTACGCTTGGACCTCGCTCAACCAGAAGGTGGGTCGCCTCCATCGGTCGATTCCTCCCCAATTTCTCATGTGGGTCGTGTGGGAAATCTCAGCTATGCACGAGCCTGGCCGCGGCAGCCGAGATCGTTCGAATCAGCCACGCGAATTTCGCGCAATTGCTCCAGAAACTCCAGGCCCTGCGCGCGATTGTTAGCAGGGGAGAAGGAACCCTAAAGATGGTATAAATGCCGAGTATATTCTCTTAGGGTAGGGCGTAACAATTTTGCAGTAAAGTATATCTTTAGAATATGCTCATTTCAATGCCTAGCCCCTTCTAGATCTATGCGCGACAAATCTCGATTTCGCGCTAGAAATCTTGATTTCTACTGTAGGAATTGCTCTGGTCGGTGTGTGCTCACCAAGGGAGAATCTGCTGTGTACCCGATTTTTTTCGAGTACCAGAATTAATGGTTTTTTGTTCTTCTCTTTTATATCCAGATCGAGAGTGTGAGGCTTCTTCCAAGAGGGCAATTGTTCTAGAATGTTTGGAGGTGGATACAGGAAAGGCGATGGATTGCCTGCTGTAAGCACTGCGAACATTTTCTCTGCGCTTAAGCGAAAATCCAGCAAGAAGAAGTCGGACAAGCATGCATTGCAAAGCAGCCAGAGTAGTTTTGGGTGCCAAGTCCGGCTACCGTCAAGTCTTGGGCCGATGTCGAGGACGACAACGATTACTTTGCGACCACCGCTCTGCTGCCAACCATAACAACAAAGGCCTCGCAGGAATCCTCTGTGAACCCTGACTTGAATCACTTGGAGGTAACCATCTTTTTTCGTAGCTCTCCTCTTTTTCCTTTTCTGTTCTTCCTGATGGTATGTATGTTAGGATTCGACGATGATGCCGACAAAGAGGTCGAAGAAGAGAAAAGCGGTGTCGTAATTCCATGCCCCATGTCAATCACGTCCAAAACGTTTTCGTGTTTGCAATTTGCCATGATCTCAAGCTCCTTGAGGATTTGCTTGTGAACCTCCTTATTTCCTAGCACTACTCTCTCGCCCAGATGATCGTATCCATGCGCCACCGCAGACGCATAGTTATATCTGCCCAACAGTTTATGGAGAAACGCGCCCTAAAACCCTAAACCCAAATTTTCGACACTGAATCGGCCACCCTTTTTCGTCGCCTTTACTGCGACTATAAAAGAGAGTGTTCCTCCATAGGGTTTCTCCATAGCTTGAGAAATGAAAGTGTTGGGCAGATATAACTATGCGTCTGGATATGGCGAAAGCTCTGCGGTGGCGCATGGATACGATGATCTGGGCGAGAGAGTCGTGATAAAAAATATGGGTAAAGGCAAGGAGGTTCACAAGCAAATCCTCAAGGAGTTTGAGATCATGGTAAATTGCAAACATGAAAACGTTTTGGACGTGATTGACATGGGGCTAGACAAGGACGGGAATTACTACATGGTATTCGAGCATACTAATGGTAACGTGTTGGAGTATCTACAAATGGACCTTTCGAAAGCTGGCAAAGAATCGGAGCTTGGTTCGAGGTTTTTCACCAGGGAAGAGAAGATCAAGGAGATAATGCGCCAGCTCCTTCTAGGGCTTGCATGGCTGCATGAACGTGGGGTGGCGCACCAGGGCATGACAAAAGATAACGTCCTGGTGAAGGTCAAAAGGATGTGATTTCAAGGTGAAGCTGGGCGATTTTAGCTGTGCGAGGAGGCTTTGCAACAATCCCCCAGAAACAACCCTGAAAGTGGGAACTGCGGTGGACATATGGAGTGCTGGGATATTGCTAGTGGGGATGCTCTTGCCATTGGAAATGCCTGAGCTACCAGAGAAAGAGGCTAAAGGAGAGGTGTTGGAGACGATCAAAAAATTTCTCCAGGCTTTGGATGATTTAATCAAGGACAAGGACGCCCTGGAGTTAGTCAGATCGATGCTAGCATCTGATCCAGTTACTGCCCGGCAAGCTTTAGCTTTCAGGTATTTACATCACAATACCCAATAACATATGATATCTTAGATACAAAATATTGTAAAGTAAAAATATGAGTTGTGTCCAACACGAAAAGAAGATAAGTAAAATAGACTAATAATAATATTCGAACTAAAAAGTGTTTAGGAAGGTTTATAAATTATAAGTATGTTTATAATTATAAATATAAGATTAATCTCAACGTTGTAGAAGATCCCGGACGCTGGTAAAAAAAAAAGCTTGGCACATTTTTTTTTTATGCTTTCTGATCCTTTTTTCTTTTCTTTTGTGTGTGTGACGTTGGGTGTGGTTGCAGAGGACATGTCTGGGATCGTCAAGAGAGCACCACCACTACAAGGGCTTCACATGATCAAGGAAGCTCAAGGAGAATATGCTGCCCGCAGAGCAGGCGACCAAGATTTAAAGAGTTTTTTTCCTTTCTTTTTACATTTGTAATTAAAATAAACTCCTTTTTCTCCATCTTTTTCTTGAAACTGGGTGCTTTTTCTGCAAAACAAATCCTTTAGGTTTTCCTAACCATTCATTTTTTCGAGCGATGGCAGACTATGTGTGGGCGAGTGGCGTGGGGTTGCTAGGCGCTGGAGCGGATGGAGAGGTGAGGGTTGGGTTCCACTGAAAGACTGGAGACAAAGTAGCCATGAAGAAGATGTACGAGCACGAGTACCTTTACGATGCCATCATCAACGGGTCGGAGATCCTGGAAGAGGTAGCGCACAACAACGTTGTCAATCTCCTTGGGTTGACCTGCAACAACCAGGGTACGTTCATGGTGATGGTGCGCCAGATCCTCGAGGGCCTGGCGTGGATTCACGCGCACAGAATCGTTCACCAAGACGTCAAGACGAGCAACGTTCTCGTCAAAAGGGATGGAGAGAAGAATAAGTTTGTTGTGAAGCTGGCGGACTTCGCTACTGTGAGGAGGCTGCGGACGCGCCCCTGGTCGAACAAGGTCGGGACCTTAACGTTCAACGCTCCGGAGCTTCTCACGGGTGCCACCAGCTTTGGCACCGCAATCGACGTGTGGGGCGCCGGGTGTATATTTGCGGAGATGCTCCTGGGTAGCAATCCCTTTGACGTGCCCGACGAGGAGGATGGGGACTCGCTCGACTATTTTGTGGCTGATTTCGCCAAGAAGCTGGACATCGATGGCTGTGGCATGGGCTATCAAGACAGGCGCCGAGAGCGAGCACGCAAGAGGATCTTGGAGAAGATGGCATGGTGGAAAGCCGAGGACGTGAGAAGCGGAATTAAAGACCCCGATGCGGTGGAGCTGCTCAAAAGGATGCTGGCAATTGATCTGGCGAGGAGGATCTCGGCACAAAACGCCTTGAAGATGCCATATTTCCAAGAGAAGGCCGACGACACAGCGCTCCCGAAAATGACGACTGCAAGTGGAAATTTTAGACCAGTTTGGGTTAAAATCAACAATGCAGCCCCATCAATAGCTATAATGTAAACAATGCTTGTGAAGACTGTGAATGTATACATTTAAAGTTTTGCAAAACATTTTATCTTTTTCTCTAAGTAGATCATGTAAAGAAAAAAATTAAAATAGTTATTATATTAATAATTATAATTATGTTTTTAATTTTGTCTCCTGGAACTCGGATCTGTCACTGGAAATGGCAACTTAGAAGCGGCAGCACGGTTCTTCGAGCGTTTTCCCGAGAAGAACGTCGTCTCCTACAATACCATGATCGCAGGGAATGCTCAGGCCGGAGAGCTAAGCTCTTGCTTCGATCTGGTGGCGAAGATGGCAATCGAAGGACTCACTCCCGACAAGCAAGCCTTCAGTGTTCTCGCTGAATCCAGCCATGGCGGAAAGCTAGAACAGGGACTCCACCACTTCGTGCTCATGAGTGGCGACTTTGGAATCACAGCTTTGAGGGAGCACTACGATTCAGTCACAGACATCCTGGGACGGGCCGGGAACCTGGAACTCACTCGCGAGGTCGTCCAAGCCATGCCATTTCTCCCGGCTTGGGGATTTCTACTCGGTGGCTACCAGCCAAGGCTTCACGCAACGAGCAGCCAGGAGCGTTTTCGAGCTGGGCTTGGGGCGAGCAAACAACCATACCAAGTGGTACACAAATTCACGTTATATCATTGTTTTTAAAATATGATCCGTATGAAAAAACTACACCCTAGTTTACATTTATCTCTTCATGTACTAACAGTAGGCGCTCACCAAGTTGGCTGATGGTGGCATGTATTTAACACACGCTGCTCGAACTTTCTTGACAACCAAGTCGCGACTAAAACCGGGAGCACTCCTCTTCACTCCACAGCGCCTCCTCTTTTGAATCGTCTTCTTGATCTTACTGCTGCAATTCTCAACGATCCACTCCAGCACACCATCCAGCGTCAACCTCTCGCTCGGCTCCACAGCCAGCATCCCGCAGATGAGATCCTCCGCCTCTGAGAGAGGACAACCATCCGGGAATTCCCCGGCTCGCAACAACTTGATCTCCCTGAACTGCTTGTAGTCTCTCAGCAGCTCATATGCGATCACTCCCAGCGCCCACACGTCCATGGCTGTAGTGTAAAAGCTCTGCAACCTAGCGTCGCCATGACCATCCTTGCAGCTCGTCACCTCCAGGGCCATATGCGACATCTCCTTGGGGTCGTCCGTGGCCATGCCGAGCGCAGCATTTGCTCGAAGAGATCCAACACGTTGCTCGTGTCTCCCGCGTGGCTGTGAGCTTCCAGCAGCGAGTTCCAAGTCCCCAGATCTTGCTGCCTCGATCCATGGAGTGGAAGACTTGGCGAGCTTCGTCCACACTCCCGCACTTGCCATAGAAGCTGACGAGCGAGCTCCCAACAACGGGATCGTCCCTGTGGAGTGATCCAATCTCCTCGGCGTGGATCTTCCTCCCAGTTTCCAGATCCCCCAGGCTTCCACAGGCTTTGAGCACCGCGGCGAAAGTTAGAGAGTCGAGCTCCACCGCCAGCCTCGCCACTCTCCGCGTAGCCGAAGATGAGAGTGTTTACGCAACAGGTCCTCGATTGTGATGGTAACAAATGAGCTTGTGGAAGTTCCAGAGGTGATCAGAGATGGATTGTTTGCGAGGCAGCACAAAGTTGTGGAGACAAGAGGCTACTGCATCATGCAGCTCGTCCTCTGCAATCTTCATGTCCTGGCCATGAATCACAAGCCCTCTCAGCACGGTCTACTTTGGGAGGATCACTGCCTGCCAGTTTCTGGTTTATTTTATATTTTACTTAAAGGTCTAGAAATATATTTTTATTTTAAAAGTATTTTTGAAATCTATGAGATTTTGCAAATTTCAGCATTTGCA